TTTTTTTTTTTTTGAGATAGAGTCTCGCTCTGTCGCCCAGGCTGGAACGCAGTGGTACAATCTCTACCTCCGAGGTTCAAGCTATTCTCCTGCTTCAGCCTCCAGAGTGGAGACAGGTTTCATCATGTTGGCTAGGCTGCTCTTGAACTCCTGACCTCAGATGATCTGCCCACCTCAGCCTGCCAAAGTGCTGGGATTACAGGCATGAGCCACCGCACCAGCCTGAAATATACTTGCCATGCAACATGGCTGGTACTGATTACCTCTACCAACATCACTGGGTTACATTCAGCCCAACCGTTTTCTTATAAAAATCAAGCAAACAGGGTTTTGTAATGTATATATTTATGCATGTGCACATGCATGTCTATGTACCCATGTATACATACTGTACATACTGGAAGTTTAATTTATATAATTTCAAAATCACTCTTTAATTCATGTATTAAGTTCTGGTTTGGGGTACTAACAATTTTGATGGAAAAAGAAAGCTAGAAAAAATTGTATTCGTGTAATAAGTTTTCAGAGAATACAGAAATCTACAAAAAAAGGTACTTACGTCATATTTACAACATCCCAGGGTCTAAAAACTGTACCAGACGACATGCACATTTGAAAGAATGAGCGGTGGCACACGCCTGTAATCCCAGCACTCTGTGAGGCCGAGGCGGGTGGATCACAAGGTCAGGAGTTTGAGACTAGCCTGGCCAATATGGTGAAATTCCGGCTCTACTAAAAATACAAAAATTAGCCGGGCGCAGTGGCAGGCGCCTGTAGTCCCAGCTACTCGAGAGGCTGAGGCAGGAGAGTTGCTTGAAGTCGGGAGGCAGAGATTGCAGTGAGCTCAGGTCGTGCCACTGTACTCCAGCCTGGGCAAGAGAGTAAGACTCTATCTCCCCCACCCCGTCAAAAAAAGGAAAATAAAAAACGAATTCTGTCTCAAAAAAAATTAAAAAAAGGAAAAAAAAGAACATTCTGCTATGTTGAAAAAAAGTCTTGTAAGTATTAGAGAAAAATTTACTATCTCCCATCCCCACAACCTGATGATTCCCTACCCTAGCAACATACTATTAAAAAAGCCACCCAGGGCTGGGCATGGTGGCTCACGCCTGTAATCCCAGCACTTTGGGAGGCTCAGGCGGGCAGATCACAAAGTCAGGAGTTTGAGACCAGCCTGACCAACATGGTGACACCCCATCTCTACTAAAAATACAAAAATCAGCCGGGCGTGGTGGCATGTGCCTGTAATTCTAGCTACTCAGGAGGCTGAGGCAGGAGAATCGCTTGAACCCAGGAGGTGGAGGTTGCAGTGAGCCAAGGTCGCACCACTGTACTCCAGCCTGGGTGACAGAGCAAGACTCTATCCCCCACACCCCGGAAAAAGCCACCTGTCAGTGTTAGGGTGAAAGAACGTGACTGAAACAGTAAGACAAAAATAATATTTGGTGGCCATTAGGAGATTACCTGTGTAATATACCAATTCCTCCCAGCCGTGTTTGTGCCATGCAGCATTCCGTATGTCTTCCCTGGTCTGAAGATCCCTGTAGGCTTAAAAATAACCAAACAGAGAAGTAAGACTTAAAACGTACACCCCACATTTCACCTGCACATCTGTTAAGGTCTTGCTTTACCTGGGAATCTAGTTTTCTGAGGGACTACTTCAGGTGTATACTACTGAGCTGAGAAAATTGTGAGCTGGTTATTCTGAGCAAAATTATATTAGGCCATGTGGGAAAAGCAAAATTTCAGTCTTTTTTTTTTTTGAGACAGGGTCACTCTGTCACCTAGGCTGGAGTGCAGTGGCACGATGCTGGCTCACTGCGGCCTTGACCTTCCAGGCTCAAGTGACCCTCCCACCTCAGCCTCCCGAACAGCTGGGACTACAGACATGTGCTACCACATTGGCTAATTTTTGTCTTTTTTTGTGCCCAAGCAGGTGTCAAACTCCTGGGCTCAAGTCATCAGACTGCCTTGGCCTCCCGAAGTGCTAGGATTACAGGTATGGGCCACCATGCCTGACCCATTCCTTTTCTTAAGTTAAAAAAATTATTTACTTGTTTGTTTGTTTGAGATGGGGTCTCACTATGTTGCCCAGGCTGGTCTCAAACTCCTGGACTCAAGTGATCCTGACTCAGCCTCCCAAACTGCTGGGATTTGAGGTGTGAGCCACCACAACTGGCCACAATCCCCTCTAAAGCTTTACAATCTAGTGAATACAAGATATGCCTTTATGAACCAAGTGAACTTCTCTAACAACACGTTAAATTCATGACCAGAAACTGAGACCACAGATAAGCAATGTCAGATTCAATTCAACATTTATCTTGCACGACACCGATCTGGGCAGGGGCTGTGTTCCATGCCGTGAAGCCCCAGGATATGAGGCAGGCAAGGTCAGCTGTGGAGTGCCGGGCCCACGCTAGGACATGGCGCTCAGGGGAGCATGGCAGGGAATGACAGAGCTTCTGGAAATGTGCGAGCTGACCAGGCGGATGTTGAAGCTGAAAAGGAATCACTGACGTAGGAATGAGAAGGTGCCTCAGGTGAAGGGGGATCACCTGGGTCACAGTACAATTCACAGGTATCTCATCCAGATGCCTTGGTTCGTTTTTTTTTTTTGTTTTTTTTTTGAGATGGAGTCTCCCTCTGTCGCCCAGGCAGGAGTGCAGTGGCTTGATCTCGGCTCACTGCAACCTCTGCCTCCCAGGGTCAAGTGATTCTCCTGCCTCAGCCTCCTGTGTAGCTGGGACTACAGGCATGCACCATCACATGTGGCTGATTTTTTTTTTTTTTTTTTTTTGGGACAGAGTCTCACTCTGTTACCCAGGCTAGAGTGCAGTGGTGTGATCTCGGCTCACTGCAACCTCTGCCTCCTGGGTTCAAGTGATTCTCCTGCCTCAGCCTCCTGAATAGTTCGGACTACAGGTGCGTGCCACCACACCTGGCTAATTGTTTTCTGTATTTTTTTAGTGGAGACAGCATTTCACCATATTAGCCAGGATGATCTCAATCTCCTGACCTCAAGATACTCCCGCCTCAGCCTCCCAAAGTGCTGGGATTACAGGTGTGAGGCACCGCACCGGGCCTAAATTTTTGTATTTTTAGTAGAGATGAGGTTTCACTATGTTGGCCAGGCTGGTCTCTAATTCCTGACCTCAGGTGATCCATCCACCTCGGCCTCCCAAAGTGGTGGGATTACATGTGTGAGCCACTGTGCCCAGCCAATATCTTAATTATATATATATATATATATATATTTTGAGACAGTCATGCTCTGTTGCCCAGGCTGGAGTGGCACAGTCATAGCTTACTGCAGCCTTGAACTCCTGGCCTCAAGCAATCCCCCTCCTCATCTTGCTGTTGCTCTTTGAAGTCTGAGTCCTCCCCACATGGCAAAGACATGGGGTCTGCCCTGTGTTCCCACAGCCTCTGTGAGAGCTCCGTATTCACATTCTGGTGCCTGACTGTTTGCAGTTCCAGACTCCTGCATCTGGGAGGCCCTCTCCAGGCAGCTACAGGTGCTGATGTGAATGGAGCACGCACCTGGCTTGACCTCTGCCCGACAGCCTAAGGGACGGAACCTTCATCTATCCAATCCGGCCCATGTAGCACCTGTCCTTATTAAGAGACAGGAATGCCTGGGAGGGCTGCATACTGCAGAAGCTACAACAGTAATGACAGTTCCACTCAGGGCTCTGGGGGCTCAGGAGGAGTGATGAGGTTCACTAGCAGGGACAGGGTGACATCTGGGTCAGGCCTGGAAATACACCAAAGACCGCACCAAACAAAAGTGGGTGGGGATGGAAAAGGTGTGGGGTCTGTGTCCTAAGACAGTGGAACCACGTCACAAAAGCAGGCAGTGAGACTGTGCAGGGAGCTGCTGTTCTGGGGAAAAGGCAGGCCTGTCTGCTGAGGCAGTAGCAAGTCAGTCTATACAAAAAGGCTGGGCCCACTCTGCAGAAGGCACTCGGCCTTCCCTGGCCTCCTCCTCCCATGGCTGCCTGCTCACCCCTTCTTCCTTTCTCCATCATCCCCAATCATTTTCAGCTCACTAATGCCACGTATCTGTGGACTTTCACTGCTGGCCTTGCTAGTCCCAGACAGCCTCATGCATACTGTCCCTCTGTGATGTCTGGATCTGCTGCAGTGGTTAAGGTTACTGACCCAAGATGTGCTCTACTGCCCAGTACAACTTAGTAATGAACTCTAAAATCTGAACAACTTGAAAAGAAAGAAAAAAACAGATACCCCAAAGATGGTGGACCATGTACAGCTGCCCGATCTGAGAGAAGAATCCTCCCACAGCTTCGTTACCATCCTGTCTGAAGCGGATCGCGCGAGCCCTGTAAGAGTGAGGCGATGTTGAAGACACTGAATCAGATACACTAGCGAGAAACAGTAGACCAAGTTTCCCCATCCTCAGGGCAGGCTATTCAAAATGGGGACTAATTGCTTATCAAATTGTTATCAAGTTCTCTAATGCAAATAAGTTACTTTATTATTTTTGAGATGGAGTCTCATTCTGTCACCCAGGCTGGAGTGGAGTGGCACAGTTATAGGTCACTGCAACCTCCACCTCCTGGGTTCAAACAATTCTCTTGCCTCAACCTCCTGAGAAGCTGGGATTACAGGTGCCCACCACCAGGCCTGACTTTTTCTTTTTTTTTTTTTTTTTTAAGATGGAGTTTCGCTCTTGTTGCCCAGGCCAGGCTGATATCAGTCTGCCCCACTGCAGCCTCCCAAAGTGCCAGGATTATAGGTATGAGCCACAGACCAGCCTACAGCCCTTTATTTTTTTTGAGACAGAGTCTTGCTCTGTTGCCCAGGCTGTAGAACATTGGCAGGATCTTGGCTCACTGCAACCTCTGCCTCCCAGGTTCAAGCGATTCTCCTGCCTCAGCCTCCTGAGTAGCTGGGATTACAGGTGTGCACCACCACGCCTGGCTAATTTTTGTATTTTTAGTAGAGACGGGGTTTCACCACATTGGCCAGGCTGGTCTTGTACTCCTGACCTCAAGTGATCTGTCCACCTCAGCCTGCCTAAGTGCTGGGATAACAAGTGTGAGCTGCTGTGCCCAGTTCAGAGCCCTTTAATGTAAACACCTTTCACACTTGCGTCAGATACTTAAAAATATATATATTTAGCCAGGCGTGGTGGCTCACGCCTGTAATCCCAGCACTTTGGGAGGCCGAGGCGCGTGGATCACTTGAGGTCAGGGGTTCGAAACCAGGCTGTCCAGCATGGTGAAACCCTGTCTCTACTAAAAATACAAAATTAGCTGGGCATGGTGGCAGGCGCCTGTAATCCCAGCTACTCGGGAGGCTGAGGCAGGAGAATCGCTTGAACCTGGGAGGCGGAGGTTGTAGTGAGCCAAGATCGTGCCACTGCACCCCAGTCTGGGCAACAAGAGCAAAACTCCATTTCAAAAGAAAGTGTGTGTGTGTGTGTGTGTGTGTGTGTGTGTGTGTGTATAGTGATGCATCTAAATTCCTAAAAATGTTTTTAAAATGTACCTATTTTTTCAAAAGCAGTTTTTTAGATCAAAGGTGAAAAGGAAGGGAGTTCAAATGACATAGGGAGGTCACCAGAAGATGCACAGTTAAGTTCTATCAGGAGATTACACACCATGTGTTACCCAGTCAACCCATACCACTCTGCCCAGGCTCTGGCCTGAAGTCTCAGTCACATTAGGGTCCCACAGCTGACAAGACTTGGGAAGACAGATTCATTCTAATTCATTCAAAAGAGCTGGCAGCATATAAACAAGGATAGCAACCTACTAATACTGACGGTAAAAGACGTCACTCTCAAGGCACAAGATGCTTGAGTTGGCCTGGCTGAGCATTCTCTTCCTGGAGGCAAACCTCATATGTACTGAATGACGACATCTCAAAAGGAGGAACAAAATCCAAGCAAGAGTGATTTCTTGTGAGTGATGAAGTCTTTCCACAGGCAGGGTCTCACTCTGTCACCCAGACTGGAGCACAGTGGCTCAGCTGACTGCAGCCTTGAATGCTTGGGCTCGAGGGAGCCTCCTGCCTTGGCCTCCTGACTAGTTGAAACTTTAGCCCTGCACCACTAAGCACAGCCAATTCTTTTTTTTTTTTCTTTTTTTTAGAGACAGGGCCTTGCTATGTTGCCCGGGCTGGTCTTGAACTCCTGGGCTCAAGCGATCCAGTCTCCTTAAAATCACTCGACACCTCTGCTCTAATCCACCTTGAGCTAAATGCCACAATGGGGACCTTACCTAAGCACTCCGGTTCCTTTAGGATAAAAAAGGGACTTCTTGCTATTGTCCCCATAGATTTTTAGCCACAAATAAGATGACATCTTTAATCTTAACATTGAGAATTAAGTGATCAATATCTTCCCACAAAATTACAAATCTGATTATTGAAATTAAGCAAATCACTCCAATGTGCATTCTAACTCTATTCAGAAGAACAAAACCTGGCTTTCATTAATAGTAATAAATATTCCAGATTATTCATTTCATTCTGAATTTTTGTAATTTAGTTGTGATAGGCAAACAAAACATACTTGCCTTAGCCTGGTAACAATCAGAAGCCTGTATAGACGAGGTGTTCACCATCTTAAATAGTTACCTATGTGCCAAAATATAAATTGAATGCTGAACTGGCTTTATAAATAACTTTTTTTTTTGAGACAGACTTTTGCTCCTGTTGCTGGGGCTGGAGTGCAGTGGTGCAATCTCGGCTCACTGCAACCTCCACCTCCCGGGTTCCAGTGATTCTCCTGCCTCAGCCTCCTGAGTAGCTGGGATTACAGGCATGCACCACCATGCCCAGCTAATTCTGTATTTTTAGTAGAGACGGGGTTTCTCCATGTTGGTCAGGCTGGTCTTGAACTCCCGACCTCAGGTGATCCACCCGCCTCAGACACCCAAAGTGCTGGTATTACAGGTGTGTGCCTCTGCACCCGGACAAATTTTAAAAGTTAACTGAATAACCTAGGTATGTCCCTGTGGATTCCACGAGGATCACATCTTGATCAGCAATGTGCAAAAACTGAACCAGTGAGTGATCCTGTTCTGTCAACAGCTCAATGATGAACACCAGTAGTCCAAAAACAAAAGCACAAAAATTGTATATAATTGTTGCATATAATCAAATATGTATGTCTTAGTTTTCAAATAAGAAATTCTAACTTGTATGATTTAGCCTTTGATGATCTAATGAGGAAAGATTCATTAGAAATAAAGATGACAGAACTATTTGTTGGAGGTAGAGGGGATCTCAGGAATTATTTCATGCACAGCAGGAAACTTCCTAACGAAAACAAGAGAAAAACAGGGGCTGGGCACAGTGGCTCATGCCTGTAATCCTGGCACTTTCGGAGCTAGGGCAAGCAGGTCACTTGAAGTAGGAGTTTGAGAACAGCCTGGCCAACATGGCAAAATCCTGTCTCTACTAAAAATACAAAAAATTAGCCAGGTGTGGTGGTGCATGCCTGTAATCCCAATTACTTGGGAAACTGAGGCAGGTGACTCGCTTGAACCCTGGAGGGAGAGGCTGCAGTGAGCCAAGATCACGGCACTGCACTCCAGCCTGGGTGACAGAGCAAAACTCCATCTCAAAAAAAAAAAAAAAAAAAAAACACGATATAAGTTGAATATAAGAAAAAGGCACAAGGATATAAGTTCTCATTTAAAGGTAAAGAAGCTAAGAGTAGCCACGTGCAGTGGTTCACGCCTGTAATCCCAGCACTTTGGGAGGCCAAGGCAGGGGGATCACAATGTCTGGAGTTCGAGACCAGCCTGATCAACATGGTAAAACCCGTCTCTACTAAAAATACAAAACTTAGCCAAGCGTGATGGTGGGTGCCTGCAATCCCAGCTACCTGGGTGGCTGAGGCCGGAGAAGTGTTTGAACCTGAAAGGTGGAGGTTGCAGTGAGCTGAGATCATGCCACTGCACTCCAGCCTGGGCAACAGAATGAGACCCTGTCTCAAAAAGAAAAAGGAAGCCAAGAGTGAGAGCTGTCAAGTAACTCACACTCAGGGCTTTTTCTCAGCACCATGTGGCCTCCCTCTTTGCAGGTGAATAATGTTATGAAATGCCTGTAGGAAACAGAAATGGCACGTTTCCAAAGAAAAGTAAGTTAACAGGCCGGGCGCGGTGGCTCAAGCCTGTAATCCCAGCACTTTGGGAGGCCGAGGCGGGTGGATCACGAGGTCAAGAGATCGAGATCATCCTGGTCAACATGGTGAAACCCCGTCTCTACTAAAAATACAAAAAATTAGCTGGGCATGGTGGTGCGTGCCTGTAATCCCAGCTACTCAGGAGGCTGAGGCAGGAGAATTGCCTGAACCCAGGAGGCGGAGGTTGCGGTGAGCCGAGATCGCGCCATTGCACTCCAGCCTGGGTAACAAGAGCGAAACTCCGTCTCAAAAAAAAAAAAAAAAAAGAAAAGTAAGTTAACGTAACTACTTCAAAGGAACACACACCCCCTCCAACAAAAGAAAAAAAAAAACTGAGGTACAGAAATGTCAAGTTTCAAAGAAAAAAAAGCCCAAAATCTTTTATTGAATTAGATAAACATGTATGCTTACTTCAGATTCTTTTAGGAAACTACTCCAGTGTTTCAAAATTAATATATATAGTTTGAGATGGAGTCTCGCTCTGTCACCCAGGCTGGAGTGCAGTGGTGCCATCTCGGCTCACTGCAGCCTCACTGCTGGGACTACAGGTGTGGCCACCATGCCCAGGTAATTTTTTTTTTTTTGTATCTTTAGTACAGACAGGGTTTTACCATGTTGGCCAGTCTGGTCTCAAACTCCTGACCGCAAGTCATCTGTCTGCCTTGGCCTCCCAAAGTGCTGGATTACAGGTGTGAGCCACCAGGCCCGGCCAATAGTTTAAGCTTCCAAAGAAATCTCATAATGAAATATGGAGGCTGGTAAAAAGCAAACAGCAACAATCTCACCATCACAGAACCCTACACGTCACCAGTGCTTTTCTTTCCATTTCCTGTCCCGGGCACTGACTTCAGCTAACCAATGACCAATAGTTTATCCCTGCATCCCTCTTAATCATCGAGGCATTTTTTTTTTTTTTTTTTTTGAGACAGGTCTTGCTCTGTTGCCCAGGCTGGAGTGTAGTGGCATGATCATAGCTCACTGCAGCCTCAACCTCCTGGGTTCAGTGATCTTACTGCTCAGCCTTCAGAGTAGCTGTGACTACAGGTATGCACCACTGCACCTGGCTAATTTTGCATTTTTTGTAGTGGATGAGGTTTTACTATGTTGCCAAGGCTGGTCTTGAACTCCTGGGCTCAAGGGACCTTCCCACCTTAGCCGCCCAGTATTGAGATTAAAGGCATAGGCCATAGCACCCAGCCTACCGAGGATTTATATGTCTTCTTATCTTTTAATAGTCAGGATATCCCAAAAGTGTTGTATCATAATGGTGAAAGCTGGTATTTTGTTACAATTGTATCAGTGTGCTTCTTGTGTTTCACCATTCAGTTTAAGGTAGTTGCTGGGAGGACAAGAACAGATTTATGATTTAAATCAGGGCTGGTAAACTGGCCCTCTGGCTAAACCGCACCATCTGTTGATGGGCATTTGGGTTCTTTCTACCTGTTGGCTGTTATAAAACATGCTGCTATGAGCACTTACAGTTTATATGGATGTTTGCTTTCTAACTTGCATTATTTAGGCTTTGATGACCCAAGAAGTAAAGATTTTCACTTATACACATAAGTGTCCACATGGATGGTATCTTTTGGGTAGACACCCAGGAGTGGAACTGCAGGGTCATATGTGTATTTTTTGTTTGTTTGTCTGAGATGGAGTCTTGCTCTGTTGCCCAGGCTGGAGTGCAGAGGCATGATTTCCCCTCACTGCAACCTCCACCTCCTGGGCTCAAGCGATTCTCGTGCCTCAGACTCCTGGGTAGCTAGGATTGCATGTGCCCACTCCCACGCCTGGCTAAGTTTTTGACATATATATTTTTTAGTACAGACAGGGTCTTGCCATGTTGGCCTGGCTGGTCTCAAATTCCTGACCTCAGATGATCCGCCCCCCTCAGCCTCCGGAAGTGTTGGGAGTACAGGCATGGGCCACCGCATCTGGCCCATATGTAATTTCGTGTTCACTATTGTGAGGGACTACTAGACTATTTTCCAAAGTGGCTGCACCATTTTACATTCCCACCGGCAATACAGGAAGGGTCCACTTCTTCCTCACCTAACCAACACGTTATTATCCATCTCTGTTTAGTCACAGCCCTCCCAGGCCAGGAACTGGTATCTCATCACAGTTTCACTTTGCATTTCCATGACTAAGGATGCTGGGTCCCTTTTCATAAGCTTATGAAGCATTCATGTGTTTTCTTTGGTGAAATGCCTATCCAAATCCTTTGCTGGTTAAAAAGCAGTTTTACAATTTATTTTATTAATTTTTTATTTAATTTAAAAAATTTTATTTAATTTTAATTTACAATTATTTAATTCTTATTTTGAGACAGGGTCTGTATAGCCCAGGCTGAAGTGCGGTGGCATGATCTCAGCTCACTGCAACCACTGCCTTCCAGGTTCAGGTAGTTCTTGTGCCTCAGGCTCCCGAGTAGATGAGATTACAGGCATGTGCCACCACACCTGGTTAATTTTTTTTTTTTTTTTTTTTTTTTTTGAGATGGAGTCTCGCTCTGCTGCCAGGCTGGAGTGCAGTGGCACGATCTTGGGTCACTGCAACCTCCGGCTCCTGGATTGAAGCGATTCTCCTGCCTCAGTCTCCCGAGCAGCTGAGACCACAGGCGCCTGCCACCACACCCAGCTAATGTTTGTATTTTTAGTAGAGACACAGTTTCACCATGTTGGCCAGGATGGTCTGGATCTCTTGACCTTGTAATCGGCCCGCCTTGGCCTCCCAAAGTGCTGGGATTACAGGCATGAGCCACCGTGCCTGGCCTAAAAATTTTTTAAATGTATTTTTTATTTTGGTAAAAAACGCCTAAAATTGAAGTTACCATCTTACCTATTTTTATGTTTACAGTTCAGTAGTGTCAAGTATATTTACACTGTTGTGCCACAGATCTCCAAAACATTTTCATTTTGTAAAACTGAAACTCTATACTCATTAAATTCAAACTCTGTCTTCTCCTCTGCCCAGCCCCTGGCAACCATTTTTTCCATTTTCTGTTTCTGTTTTTTTTTTTTTTTTTTTAAGACAATCTCTCCATCACTAGGCTGGAGCGTAGTGGCACAATCTCGGCTCACTGCAACCTCCACTTCCTGGGTCCAAGTGATTGTCCTGCCTCAGCCTCCTGAGTAGCTGGGATTACAGGCATGCACCACCATACCCAGCTAATTCTTATATTTTTAGTAGAGATGGGGTTTGGCCATGTTGGCCACGCTGGTCTCAAACTCCTGAGCTCAGGTGATCCACCCACCTTAGCCTTCCAAAGTGCTGGGATTACAGGTGTGCCCCACAATACCCAGCCAACAATTTCTTTATCCATATATCTATTGATGGATATGTGGGTTGCTTCTACCTCTTGGCTACCACAAATAAAGCTATGATAAACAGGGGTATGCAAATATCCTTTAGATGTGCTTTGAATTCTTTTGGATATATACCCAGAAGTGGAACTGGTAAATCACACTGAATTCCATTTTCAATGTATGTATCTACTTATTTTCTGAGAGTTTCACTCGTTACCCAGGCTGAAGTGCAATGGTGTGATCTTGGCTCACTGCAACCTCTGCCTCCCAGGTTCAAGTGATTCTCCTGCCTCAGCCTCCCAAGTAGCTGGGATTACAGGCATGCACCACCACGCCCGGTTAATTTTGCATGTTTAGTAGAGATGGGATTTCTCCATGTTGGTCAGGCTGGTCTCAAACTCTTGACCTCAGGTGATCAACCCATCGTGGACTCCCAAAGTGCTGGGATTACAGGTGTGAGCCACCGCACCCAGTCTATTTATGTATTGTTTATTTTTGTGAGAAAAGGTCTCGCTGTATCCCACAGGTGGGAGTACAGTGGCATGATCACAGCTCACTGCAGTCTCCATCTCCCCAGGCTCCAGCCATCCTCCCACCTCAGCTCCTGAGCAGCTGAGACTACAGGCATGTGCCACCACCAAGCCTGGCTAGTTTTTTTTTTTTTTTTTTTTTTTTTTTTTTTTAATAGAGACAGGGTTTTGCTATGTTGCCCAGGCTGGTCACCAACTCCCAGGATCAAGGGATCCTCCCGCCTTGGCCTCTTAAAATCCTGGGATTACAGGTATGAGCTACCACGCCTGGCTGCTATCATTTAAAGTTCTTTACCTATTTTTTAATTGAGTTATCTGTAATCTTATTATTGAGTTGTAAGAATTCTTTGTATATTCTGAATCCAATTTGCTTCTCAGATATACGATAAGCAAATATTTTATTCCAGTATATGAATTGTCTTTTTAATTAAAAAACATTTTTTTTAATATCACTGAGAGTAAGGTATTATTTTTGGTTTCAAGACAGTCTTGCTGTCACCCAGGCTGTAGTGCAATGGGGTGATCTCGGCTCACTATAAACTCTGTCTCTCAGGCTCAAGTGATTCTCCTGCCTCAGCCTCCTTAGGAGCTGCAACTACAGGCACACAGCACCCCAACAGGCTAATTTTTGTATTTTTAGTAGAGATAGGGTTTCACCATGTTGTCCAGGCTGGTCTCAAACTCCTGACCTCAGGCGATCTTTCCACCTTGGCCTCCCAAAGTGCTGGGATTACAGCTGTGAGCCACCATGCTCAGACTAATTTTTTATTGTTTTGAGACAGGGTCTTATTCTGTCACTCAGGCTGGAGAGTAGTGGCACAATCGTGGCTCACTGCAGCCTTGACCTTTCAGGTTCAGGTGATCCTCCCACCTCTCAGCCTCTCGAGGAGCTAGGACTACAAGTACATCCCACCATGCCTGGTTAATTTTTGTATTTTTTTTGTAGAGTCGGGGTTTTGTTATGTTGCCCAGGCTGCGAAAGTCTCAGATGTCTGGGTTCAAGGAATCCTCCTGCCTCAGCCTCCCAAAAGCGCTTGAATTACAGGCATGAGTCATGCCTGGCCTTTATTTTTATTTTTAATTTATTTTATTTATTTGAGACACAGTCTCACTCTGTCATCTTGGCTGAAGTGCAGTGGCATGATCTTGGCTCACTGCAACCTCTGCCTCCTAGGTTCAACCAATTCTTCTGCCTTAGCCTCCCAAGTAGCTGGGACTACAGGCATGCACCACCATGCCCAGCTAATTTTTTTTAATTTTTAATAGAGACAGGGTTTCACCATGTTGGCCAGGATGGTATTATCTCCTGACCTTGTGATCTGCCTGCCTTGGCCTTCCAAAGTGCTGGGATTACAGGCATGAGCCACCGCACCCAGCCAACTATTTTTATTTTTGAGACAGTGTTTCACTCTGTTGCCCAGGTTGGAATGCAGTGGTGTGATCTTGGCTCACTGCAACCTCTGTCTTCTGGGCTTAAGCAATTCTCCAACTCAGCTTCCCAAAAAATAGCTGTGACCTCAGGCATGTGGCATCACAGCTCGCTAGTTTAATTAATTTATTTATTTTGGTAGAGATAGTAGTCTTGCCATGTTGCCCAGACTGGTCTTGAACTCCTGGGCTCAAGTGATTCCCCTGCCTTGGCCTCTCAAAGAGCTGGGATTATAGGCATGAGCCACACTGCACCTGGCCAGTCTTTCTCATTTCTAAAGCCTACTGGGACTGACAGGGATTCTGTTGAATCTATAGATCAACTAGTGGAAAAATTGGTTTTCTACTCAAACTAGCAGGGAAAAAAAAGAAGAAACTATTAGTGACGTGCTCTGTATATGTGACAAAAGTAATGTTTCAGAAAAGATGATATCCAAGAAGTATTTAAATTAACCTTCTGCAATATTGGTGTTTCCTTTAAAAAAAAAAAAAAAGGTGCTTATCTTTTAAAAATATATACAGTACTGAACCATTTATGAATGAAACAGAATGTTGTCTGGGATCTAATTCCAAACAATCTGGGTTGAAGGAGTTAAACCTAAACGAGATTGGCCACATGTTAATTATTGAAGCAAAGTGATGGATGTGGCCAGAGTACCCCATTATTCTCTCTAGTTTTGTATGTTTGAAAAACCTCATAATAAGAACATCAAACAAAACGTTAGTCTAGTGTCAAGCCATGGTAGTATCCTTAGATTTTTTTTCCCTAGAATTAACACTATGGCCTAAACTAATCTGTCAATAAGACTTAAAAACTCACCATTTAGTAATACACTCACCAGTAATTGCCCCATTCAATCATGGTTCCTGGCTGAAAACAGATTTAGATTTGGTTTGTTAGTTCTTCTGTGGAAAAAATACAGAAACAGCAAATAGCAGTATAAAAAAACATTAAGTGACAAAACTACTTTAAAAAACCTTTTTCTTTTTTTGAGACAAAGTCTTGCTCTGTTGCCCAGGCTGGAGTGCCGTAGCTCAATCTCAGCTACTGCAACCTCTGCCTCGAGTTCAATTGATTCTCCTGCCTCAGCCTCCCGAGTAGCTGGTATTACAGGCGGCTGCCACCATGTCCGGCTAAGTTTTTGTATTTTTAGTAGAGACAGAGTTTCACTGTGTTGGCCAGGCTAGTCTCAAACTCCTGGCCTCAAGTGATCCACCCATCTTGGTCTCCCATAGTGCTGGGATTATGGGAGTGAGCCATTGCACCCAGCCAAAACTTTATTTTTTTAATTTAATAGAGACAGGGTCTCACTATGTTGTTTAGGCTGGTCTCAAACTTCCAGGCTCAAGCGATCCTTCAACCTTGGCCTCCCAAAGTGTTAGGATTACAGGCGTTAGCCACTGTACTTGGCCTGTATCCCTTTTAATGATGCTGTTACATGGGGCTTTCTTTCTAGTCCTCAGTAGGAAAATGTCTAGAAAGTGTTATGAAATATTATTGCCCTTTATTCTTATCACATTGTATAATTTTTCAACAGTTACAATATTGATTAGCTGCTCTCGTTTAACCACAATAGATGGTGCATATTGTACTTCGTCCTGCACTTTAGGTCTTTCTTCTTAAAAACAGAAATGCTAGGCCGGGTGCGGTGGCTCAAGCCTGTAATCCCAGCACTGTGGGAGGCCGAGGCGGGTGGATCACGAGGTCAAGAGATCGAGACCATCCTGGTCAACATGGTGAAACCCCGTCTCTATTAAAAAAAAATACAAAAAATTAGCTGGGCATGGTGGCGCGTGCCTGTAATCCCAGCTACTCAGGAGGCTGAGGCAGGAGAATTGCCTGAACCCAAGAGGCGGAGGTTGCGGTGAGCCGAGATCTCGCCATTGCCCTCCAGCCTGGGTAACAAGAGTGAAACTCCGTCTCAAAAAAAAAAAAAAAAAAAAAAAAAACAGAAATGCTGTTTGGAAAAATATCAAATAATAAGCATTATGTGGTGTAAGGCCATAAAACGCAAAAGAGCTTAGCCTGGTGACAGTGTGAGACCCAGTCTTAAAATATACATGTATATTTATATATATATGTGTGTGTGTGTGCGTGTATATATATAGAATGCTAAACACACATCACAGAAGGTAAACACAAGTTCTGTTGTCAGCCTTACAAAGTGCTTGTGCTTATTCACAGAACAGCAAAAGGAATAACTCATATTTCTGTACTTACTCGGAGTTGGTAAGACCTGAGTTCATATATATTAGGTCCTGATCGTGGGACAGGCTCATTCCAGAAACTGAACTCCAATAGGAGCTGATTCTTCCTAGAGAGAAGCATGTCACTTCTTGCCTTACGGAATTCCAAAAAGTCCTTTGAGTAAAAAAAATGTGCTCATGAAATCTTCTAATACTTATATATAAGCCCATTTCAGTAACATTTATATTTCTACAGAATACTATAATAATAAGCAGGTCCCAGTTGGCCTGAGACAGTCCCAGGTTACATCTGTTTAGCTGGTGTAATCATTAATAGCATTCCTTTTCAGTCTCATAAGTGTCCAGGTTTAGATGACAAATTACATAGTGATCCTAATTATTTAGATGGCAATGTAAACCAATTTAATTTTCTTTATTTTTAGATTCTTCTAACAGTGTTTGATGGCACATCAATAGAAGTGGCATGCAGACTATGAAACAGCAGATAATTCAAAAGCTATTTATATTTGTCTGGAAAGCTATACAAAAGATTTTCTTTCCTAGTGATGTGTAGCTGTTAAATTTCTCCCTACTGCTGAGTACCTGCTAGTGAAGAGAGGGTGGAAAGCAAAGTCAGCCCAAGATAAAGTATATGTGTTTGGAAGACAGTTCCTGAAGTAGACAGATTTAGGTCATCCAGGGCTAATTGTGTCTGCCATGCTAATTGATACTCCAGTCACCAATTTTTTTTTTTTTTTTTTTGAGACAGTCTCACTCTGTTGCCCAGGCTGGAGTGCAGTGGTATGATCTCGGCTCACTGCAACCTCTGCCTCTCAGAATCAAGTGATCCTCATGCCTCAGCCTCCCACGTAGCTGGGATTACAGGTGTGCACCAACACGCCTGGCTAATTCTTGCATTTTTAGTAGAGATGAGGTTTTACCATGTTGGCCAGGCTGATCTCAAACTCCTGGCCTCAACTGATATGCCTGCCTTGGCCTCCCAAAGTGCTGGGATTATAGGCGTGAGCCACTACGCCCGGCCCAGTCATCAGTTTCAAGGTACCACCTTATCAGTTTCAAAGTACAATTGACTTTTTTTCTTTTTTGAGATGGAGTCTTACTCTTTCGCCAGGTTGGAGCGCAATGGCACGATCTCAGCTCACTGCAACCTCCGCTTCCCAGGTTCAAGCTATTCCCCTGCATCAGCCTCCTGAGTAGCTGGGATTACAGGCACACACCACCATGCCCGGCTAATTTTTTGTATTTTAGCAGAGACAGGATTTCACCATTGCCAGGATGGTCTAAATCTCCTGACCTCATGATCCACTCGCCTCGGCTTCCTAAAGTTCTGGGATCACAGGCGTGAGCCGCCGCGCCCGGCCTACAATTGACTTTTACAATAAGAACTATTATTTTAACAGTATTACAACTGTTTATATTTAAATACAACTTCAGGAGTCTAAACAATAAAATTTGTGACAAAAATGAAGTTTATTAACAAAAGCTGAAGACAGAAAAGTCATTTAATTCTGTACTAACATCTATATATCATTAGTCTAAGTAAACGTTTTTCAAAACCATTACCTTATTTTCTCTGAGTTTATTCATGACTTCTGTGAGGGCTGGATAGCCTCCTTCATACCTCCAGAGGTGGACTGAAATGAATTTTTAAAAATATACATTCAGAATTTCATGATATTACTATTTGAAAATGTTCTAGATAGGTGTAATGTTATCACAACACAAAACTGTAGACTGGGTGTGGTGGCTTGAGCCTGTAATCCCAGCACTGTGGGGGGCTTATGCAGGAGGATCACTTGAGGTCAGGAGTTCCAGACCAGACTGGCCAACATGGTGAAACCCCATCTCTACTACAAATACAAAAATTAGCTGGGTGTGGTGGCACGCGACTGTAATCCCAGCTACTTGGGAGGCCGAGGCAGGAGAATCGCTGGAACCCAGGAGGCGGAGGTTGCAGTGAGCCGAGATACCATGCACTCCAGCCTGGGTGACAGAGTGAGTCTCCGTCTCAAAAAACAGAACAACTATAATGCGCCACGTGTTGGCCTATAAGTTACATCATAAAGTTTCAGTAATAGATTCAAACATTGAAAGCTATTTTAAAAGGTTTATTTTTTTTTTGCATGAATTGTTGAAGAAACTACTTTAATCATAAAATTAGACTGAGACTTGGAAAGCTTTGATAAGAACAAGCATTAAATTAGAAAATTACTTAAGTGTTACATAAGGCTTAAGGAAGAAGTGTTTATTCCAAAGACTTCGCTTCCTACCAGCTTGGTCCTGCTCGCCATACCACGTGTTCCAAGTCCCCACCAAAGTACAAGGGTAGTGTTTATCTTCGTGAATCTTTGGCAACACCTCTTGACTTAAAGAGAAGAAACAGCAACACTAATTAAACAACCAGCAAAATTTGACCAGGTGGACAGCACCTGATCAGTAACAGGAAAAAGACTACCTACTAGTGTTCTAACAACTGACCTTAGAATATCCTTATGATAAAATGACATGTGGAATTAACCTTCTGGATGAATTCTGTTGAACTCCAACACCCTGCTGTTCAGAAGCTTAGGTTTCTGATACCCCAACTATCTAGAAGAGCTGTTGAACCAGTATAAAGATGGTACAGAGAAACCAAAGGTCCCAGGATTTCGGGAGTCTACTATTTTCCATTTGAGGGAAAAACAAATACCACCAAAAAACGTTCTGTTGGTTCCAACGACAGGAAGAATGAGAGACAAGGGAAGAGCAGAAAAGAACGCAGAAGAAATAAGGAAGATGGAAGGGAAGAAAGTCATGTTCAAGACAGGCAGACAACACAAGCAACACCAGCAGGCAGAGGAAACAGAAGCAGAGAACAAGCTGGCCTTCAGGAAGGAGGAAGAAGACAGAGCTGGAACACAACACATTCTGGAAGCGACCCCAACCTCCAATAGTCCCCAAGGGCATCAACGTGGCAGAAGAATCAAAATTAAAGATACAACGTGACGCATAAATTACGTTCTACTCAATTCAATGGGCGGAGGGGATGTGAGGAGTGTCACGTAGTCTTATATCAAACACACCAACCAATTCATTCCCACTCATTGTGCAGGGATGGGGGCAAAGCCATGTCAGGTCACGGCAGTGTATGAATTTAACAGGGGTGTCAGAGGGCAGCCTGGTTCCATGCCTTCCTATGGTCTAGATTCTAACACACAGGGAAAGGCAAAGGGAAGAGTGCAACTGTTTTATACCATGAGAAAAGCTAAAGCCTGTACACTTTTTGAATAGAAAAATTATGATGAAAAAGTATCACACAGATTCAACAATGGATGCAAAAGGGGATCAAGGGCAAGAAATGGAACCTGTTCACATTACTTGCTGACACTGAGTGATACTTAGCTAGTGATTACCACCAGATGCTGGGGCTACAGGAGCGGGGTATTTAAGTACCATGCGCTAACCAATTGTGCCACTGGAGCTCCGGAGGACCAGGGATGTCTAAATGACAAACAGAGAAAAGTTCCAAACGGCCCATGTTTAACTAACTGAAAACCCATACACCTTTATGACCCAGTATAGTGACCACATCCTGTGTACTTTAGGAAGAGTAGCATTTACTTTTTAAATTCGGATCTGATATTAAATGTATCTGATGTGTACTCATGACCGTTCAGAGTAACATGGGATGCATGAGAACGGAGGACGGAGAAAGAGGAATTATGCTAGGAAAATGTCAAACATTTCCTTTTGGTCGCATGACATGAGCAGGAATAAACGACCCTGCATTGGAGGCAGCCCAGGAAGGACGCCCAGTACCCAAGTCCCAGGTGGGATCCAGAGAGGGGCCTGGAGACAGGACCTAGGTTCTTCATCAACACAAAGTCACACATGGATTTGTAGCCACTCCTCTTTGCTGGGGACCCCAAACCTGCTCTTGGGAGCCCTGGCCTTACCTGAATGGAGGTTGTAAGGCAGGCAGTACTTGTACCCAGAACTGGATGGGTTGGGCAGAATCCCATTACTGGGACCCCTAAAAACCAGGCAGGAATTAAGTCTTTATGTTCTGGAAACAGGGAGCTGCTGAAAGTTTCAGAGAAAAGAAAAAACGTGATGAAAAAAGAAAACAGAACTCAAGCAGATCAATCTGACAAACTCTGGAGTAATGTATCACAGGGCAGGGAGGAGACACAGGTATAGCCTGGAGCCCAGAAAGGGAGTAAAAAGGCTACTTGGGAATGGGGCTCAAGAGGCTTAGAGAGCGAGACAGAGAAGGAAATGAGAACGAAAATACATGTCCGATGAAGAATGCATGGATCTGGGTGACAGACTCATCACAGAGAGCTAAGGAACGGGCTGAGTAAAACAAGGTGAGCCGCGCAGACATGGAAGTTGGAATAGCAAGGTGATTCTACATGCCGAGTTTGAAGTGAGAACACGACATCAAATAGAAATATGAACAGACAGCCGGAAATCCGAGACAGGAGATGAAGTGATAAGACAGGACAGAAAAGGTAATCCAGGAAAACATCCGTATAGGGAAAAACTCCATTTTATGAGAAAAGACTTAGAAATAAATATCTGCTTTGTTTTAGGGCATTTTTAAATAAAGAGAAATGTGCTGAAATGAGCAAGAAATTCAATGCTAGTATTACATTTCATAAACTATCTTCAAAAATAAAACATAACAAAAGATTTTTCTTCTAAAAAGTATGCTGATTATAGGGACAAAATTGCTTTCTTATCAAAGTAGTAGATATTAAAGGTAAAAAAAAAAAACAACCAACTTTTTCTTAACATTTGCTCACAATGGATCATTAAAATGCCATCTCTTTTGAGAGCCAATAAGCTTAGCTCTCCCTTTCGTCTTAAAGTTCACAAATTCTGTAAGAAGGCTTGGGTCTCAAATCACAGGAGAATCAGCGGAAGAGACTTGGATCCCCGAGAACAGAGGAGTTGGGAAGAAATGGCAGCTATGTTCAAATATACACAGGACTCTCACAGGGCAGTTTCACTTAGGGGAATCAATGAAGGATTCAGAGATGTAAATTCTTATTCCTAGCAATCAGAGCTGTCCAGATATGGAACTTACTTCACGACAGGCAGTCAGGAAGGTCTGCCGAAAGGACTCCAGCATTGGATAAGCAGATGGGTTAGACATCCTTGCAAAGTTCCTCCAAACCTAAGAGTCTGGTGACATTCTATGTGATGATTTAGCTATGTGAGTGCTTAAAATCAAAATGCCTTTGGCAATCTTATACAAAGCTCAGTTTAAGAGGCTCTGAATGTTCAGGTTCAAAGGAGAGGGATGAAAGATCTCTCTCTATGCTATCAAGTGTTAGTGGAATTAACTAACAAATAACATCATTATTTTTCCCCAAGTAAAGGATAGTTTGGTATACACACCAAATTTTGTTGTATGCTTCTAGGCATTCCGGTTTAACATTGTGAACTGAAACAAAAGAAAATTCAACGATAAACTTAGGAACAAACGGGAAAAGAGAGACAACTATGAAGATAGCAAACCTGTCACTCACACTGTAATTTGTAGAGACTGCTTGTTTCCTTTTTGGCTAGGAGATTGGAGTGAGCATCTTTTCTTGGATCAACTTTCCGGACAAATAAGGATTGAAGCCAGCTGTCTTCTCGAGATCTGTGGCTGGAAGATGTCCATGTCCTACAGAATAACAATGCCAACTTTATTAACACATGATTTACTAATTTTCATCTTACAATTAAATTTCTACCATGAATGCTGTCAGAAAGTGAGGATAAATTTGACTGAAGTCACAAACTGTACTTTACTCATGAATTTTTTCATTTCTTTGAGATTGGGTCTTGCCCTGTCACCCAGGCTGAAGTGTCGTGGTGCAACAGCTCACCGTAGCTCACTGTAGCCTCAAATTCCTGGGATCAAGTGATCCTCCCATCTCAGCCTCCTGACAAGCTGGGACTAGAGGCATGTGTCATCTTGTGTGGTTAATTTTTTAAAAAAATTTTTGTGGGGGTAGGGTCTTGCTATGTTGCCCAAGCTGGTCTCAAACTCCTGGCCTCAAGCAGTGCTCCCACTTCAGCCTCTCAAAGTGCTGGGATTACAGGTATAAGCCACTGCGACCAGCCCTACTCACAAATTTCTTTTTTTTTTTTTTTTTGAGACGGAGTTTCACTCTTGTTACCCAGGCTGGAGTGCAATGGCGCGATCTTGGCTCACCGCAACCTCCGCCTCCTGGGTTCAGGCAATTCTCCTGCCTCAACCTCCTGAGTGGCTGGGATTACAGGCACACGCCACCATGCCCAGCTACCTACTCACAAATTTCTATGTGCAAGTTTAATTCCCATACACCAACTAACAGGAATACAAGTTTGTTGACCTCCCTAGAGGGCAGCGTGGCATCATCCATGTCAGAGTGGAAATCGTGTATGACTGTGGCCCAATGACACTTGTGCTTGTGTGCTACAGCCACAGCTACATTCAGCCAAAGCTGAACGCACGTCAACATTCACTGCGGTCTTGTTTCCAGCTCTTTCCTGGCACAGGCCTTTTCAATAGCCTTCACGCAGACTGGTTAAAAGAATCAGGAAATATGCCAGTCAGAAAATATGCACTCAATAAAACAATGAAGTACATCTACATATACTGATGTGCTGACATTTCCGAGACATGTAAAAAACCAGGCACAGAACAGCACTATACATACACCTGCAAAGTGAGCTGTTAAAGAGTGATTACTTTTCTTTTTTGTTTTTTTTTTTAAAAGATGGGGTTTCACCATGATGGCCAGGCTGGTCTTGAACTCCTGACCTCAGGTGATCCACCCACCTCAGCCTCCCAAAGTGCTAGGATTACAGGCCAAGCGTGAGCCACCACGCCCGGCCAAGAGTGATTACTTTCATGAAGGTGCAGAGGATTAAAAAAAAAAAAGAGTGATTACATCTGGGGGACATGACAGGGCCTGGGGTCGGAGTAAAGATTTTTTTCTTTTCTGTATAACCTTCTGGACTGTCTGAACAACTTCTACACCTACACACACACACACACACACACACACACACATTTGAGATAGAGTCTCACTTTGTCGCCCAGGCTAGAGTGCAGTGGCATGATCTTGGCTCCCTGCAACCTCCACCTCCCAGGTTCAAGTGATTGTCCTCCTGCCTCAGCCTCCTGAGCAGTTCGGACTACTGGCGCATGCCACCGTGCCCAGCTAATTTTTGTATTTTTAGTAGAGGTGGGTTTTCATCATGTTGGCCAGCCTGGTCTTGAACGCCTGACCTTAGGTGATCCACCCGCCTCAGCATCCCAAAGTGCTGGGATTGGTGTGAGCCACCACACCCGGCCAATTCCCCATGTTTATTTTACATTTTAAGTTCATTAAGCAGAAATTGTGTCCACAATTTTTCTGTTAAATAAATTGTAAAAGCTTAGGAATGACAATTATGAACAATTAAGAAAAGGATATAACAACCGTTTCTAAAAATATTGACTAGGCAGCTTCATTAAAATAAGAAATACAAGGCAATGACTACTAACAGTTTTAAGTATATCCTTCCAGAAATACAGAGGCAAACAAATATTATGTATATTTACAGATAGGTAATATTTTCACCAATAAAGGATGCCTTTGAAACAGAAATCTCCCCAACTGAGCATTTATTTCATATTTCAGTAATACCAAAGTCAGCCTGGGCAGCATAGCAAAACCCTGTCTCTATTAAAAAAAAAAAAAAAGTAGCTGGGCATGGTGGCTCGTGCCTGTGGTCCTAGGTGCTTAGGAGCCTGAGGCAGGAGGATCGCTGGAGCCTGCAAGTTCAATGGTGCAGTGAGCTATGATCATGCACCGCACTCTAGCCTGGGCAACAGAGCAAGGCCTGCCTCTAAATCAAACAGATAATACCAAAGGGATTCCCCTTAGGATGGGTACAATGAGGCAAGGGATATACAAATGCTTTGTAATCTAAAAATGCAGAGCAGAGGGTGAGACTAAAACAATCAACACAGCGCACAAACGAGAACCTCTGAGTGGCATGTCCTTATGAACTTGGGCAGCAACCATCTTGACAAATGAAAAACAAGCTGGCCCAGTATCACCTCCAACCGTCACACTAAGATCTCTGAGTGCCAGGTGACTAAAGCTGCCTAATATGCCCAGCCCGTCTAGTCATTCCAGTTGCAGCTATGCCAATGGCTGCCAGAGTGGAAGATCTGGCTTGGGTTCTTAACTGACAGTGACAAACGCCAAGATGTCAGGGGGCACTTTCCAGAGGGTAAGGAAGGACGCACTATACAAAACACTAGACTTGAGATGGAGTCAGCATTCTGTGCTGGGCTCTATGGATACAAAGATGAAACAGACGCCAAGCCTGTTCAGTCTCACAGAAAAAAACCTACTGGTAAACAGCCAGAGTGGCCACGGACACTGTAAACCTAGACATACGCTTCGGGAGCTCAAGTGAACCCACCATCAGCTTGGCCTGCGAGGCACAGGAGGGACTCCAAGAGGGACATTCTGGCTCTGTTTCAGAGGGCAAGCAAGACAGGTGGACAAGGCAGGTGCTAATTCCAGTCCAGGGGAACAACATGTACAGAGGCATGGTGCCAGGACACTGAATGGCGTATTTCTGGAACGGCAAGTTGTTTAGCAAGGTAGAAGGGCGTGCAGGAGAATGGCAAGATACAACCAGAGGGCGAGGCGAGGGCAACTTCATCCTGTGCGGAGTGCAACGCTGGCAAGTTTTCAAAAAAGATCTAAGTGTCAGCCAGGTACCGCGGCTCATGCCTGTAATCCCAGCACTTTGGCAGGCTAATGCGGGCAGATCATCTGAGGTCAGGAGTTCAAGACCAGCCTGGGCAACATGGTGAAATCCTGTGTCTACTAAAAAATTTTTAAAAATTGTCCAGCTGTGGTGTTGGGTACCTGTAGTCCCAGCTACTCTGAGGGCTGAGGCAGGAGAATCACTTGAACTAGGGGGGGCGGAGGCTGCAGTGAGCCAAGATCACTTCACTGCATTCCAGCCTGGATGAGAGAGCCAGAAAGAGCAGCCTGGGGACCAGCTCTAAAGAAGTACTTGTTGAGGGGAAGACTGGAAAGAAGAGGAGCAGATGGTCAGGTGGATACCCATGGAAAAAAGGAGATTCTAAGAACCAGTAACCTCCAAAGAAACGAGTGTGCAAACAGCACAGCATTCGGAAGCACGGGCCAGGGGAAAGGAGGCTGGCAGACCAGTGCCAAGAAGAGTTCTGCCTTAAAGCAGCAGCTCCTGACTTCCCTACCTACCACCTCGCTCCCTCCAGCCCCCACACTGTACCCTGTCTTACACACTGCAGCTGCAGAGACCCTGTTCCCACACCTTTCATTTTGAGAAACTTCAACTCAGAGGAGTTAAAACACGACAATGAAGACTTTTCAGGATCTAGATTTTAAAAACAAACATTTTACCATGAAAAATGTTCCTCTCTGTATATACATTTGCTTTTTAATTTCTTGTTTTTTGAGACAGGGCTGTGTTCTGCTGTGTCAGCTACAGTACAGTGGCATGATCTCGGCTCACTGCAACCTTGGCCTCCTGGGCTCGAGCAATTCTCTTGCTTCAGCAACCCATGTAGTGGGACTACAGGCGTGTGCCATCACGCCCAGCTAATTTTTGTATTTTTAGTAGAGACAGGATTTCACCATGTTGACCAGGCCGGTCTTGAACTTCTGGCCTCATGTGATCCATCCGCCTTGGCCTCCCAAAGTGCTGGGATTACAAGCATACGCCACTGCACATGGCCCTATGTTTGCTTTTTAATTTCTTTTTTTTTTTTTTTTTTTTGAGATGGAGTCTCATTTGGTTGCCAGGCTAAAGGGCAGTGGCGCAATCTCGGCTCACTGCAACTTCCGCCTCCTGGGTTCAAACGATTCTCCTGCCTCAACCTCCTGAGTAGCTGGGACTACAGGTGCATGCCACCACGCCCAGCTAATTTCTCTATTTTTAGTGGAGATGGGGTTTCACCATGTTGGCTAGGATGGTCTCGATCTCCTGACCTCATGATCCACCCGCTTCAGCCTCCCAAAGTGCTGGGATTACAGGTGTGAGCCACTGCGCCTGGCCTTAAGAATTCTTTAGATGTGTGGCTGGGCACAGTGGCTCACACCTGTAATCCCAGCACTTTCAGAGGTAGAGAGTAGGCGGGCTACTTGAGGCCAGGAGTTCGAGACTAGCCTCTCTACAAAAAATTTAAAAATTAGCTGGGCAGCTGGGTGCGGTGATTCATCCCTGTAATACCAGCACTTTGGGAGGCTGAGGTGGGTGCATCACTGGAGGTCAGGGGCTTGAGATCAGCCTGGGCAACGTGGTGAAATCCTGTCTCTACCAAAAATACAAAAATTAGACAGGCATGGTGGTGCACGCCTATAGTCCCAGCTGCTCAGGAGGCTGAGGCAGGAGAATTGCTTGAACTCAGGAGGTGGAGGTTGCAGTGAGCCAAGATCACGCCACTACACTCCAGCCTGGGCGACAGAGTGAGACTTCACCTCAAAAAAAATAAATAAATAAAATAAATAAGAAAATAAAAATTAGCTGGGCTCGTGGTGTGGGCCTGTAGTCCCAGCTACTTGGGAGGCTGAGGTAGGAGGATCCCTCAAGCCCAGTGAGCCAAGGCTGCAGTGAGCCATGGTAATGCCATTACACTCAAGCCAGGGCAACAGAGCAAGATTATATCTATAAGGAGAAAAAAAAAAGAATTCTTTAGTTGTCCCCTCCACTGACAGGGAATCCACACAAGTGGTGCTGAGGGTTGAGCCAGGGCAGTGGCAGTGGAGAGGGTAGATTCAAAGCATACTAGAGGCAGATCTGACACATCTGGTAAATGACAGATGGGGGAAAAGAAGAGGACTGAGCTTGGGGAAAACTGTCTGGTTTCTGGCCTGGGCCACCACATGGAAGAGGTTTCATTACTGGAGAACGAGAACCCAAGAAAAGCAGGCCTCGTGGAAGGAGGAGGAGTTACATCCTGGGTACAGCAGCATTTTGAGCACCTGTGGGACACTCGTTCAATGTCCAGGAAGCGGCTGGGAATTCCAAGCTTGCTGCTGAGCAGCGCTAAGGGACATGTGCTGGCTGATGTACATGCACGGATGAGGCTCCCGGGAGGACTTTACTCTTCCTTTCTGAAACCGATCCGGCAAGGTCACCCACAACACCCCTGTTGGCAAACCCTGTTTTCTTCTGTCATTTTACCTCACCCTTTGGCAGCAGATGGCACTCGCTCCCTCCTCCTGGCCGCTGTCACATAGCAATGACCTTGCCAGCTCCCCTCCTACACACTCAGCCTGTAGAGGCTGCACACCCCAGGGCTTGTTTGGCAGCCCCCCTTCTCTCTCCACGCTCTACCTCACACAATCTCACACATTCTTACGGTTTTTCTTTTCTTTGAGACAGGGTCTGGCTCTGTCACCCGGGCTGGAATGCAGCAGTATAGTCTTGGCTCAATGCAACCTCTGCCTCCCAGGTTCAAGCCATACTCCCACCTCAGCCTCCCAAGTAGCTGGGACTACAGGTGCATGCCACCGCGCCAGGCTAATTTTTATATTTTTTGGAGAGACATGTTTTGCCATGTTGCCCAGGATGTTCTGTAGCTCCTGAGCTCAAGCAATCATCCCACCTCAGCCTCCCAAAGTGCTGGGATTACAGCCTGAACAACTGTGCCCTGCTTCCTATGGTTTAAAAAAAAAGTTTCATTATACAAATTTTTATTTATGTGCTTATTTATTATTAGGGACGGAGTTCCGCTATGTTGCCCAGGCTGGTCTCAAACTCCTGGGCTGAAGCAATACTCCTGCCTCAGCCTTCCAAAGTGCTGGGATTACAAGCGTTACCACACCTAGCCTCTATGATGAAAAATTTAAGTCAAATACGAAACAGTATAATGAAATCCATGAGTGTATTAACATTTAGCATTTCTTTATACTGACAACTCCCAAGTGTTACCTGTAGCCCAGACACCTCCTTTGAGGAGTCACATGGTTAAACGTCTATTTGCTTTCCACTTGAATAGCACACAGCCTTCTCAAGCTTTACCAGGTTCTAAACTGCTCTGAATTCTTCCTCCCCAGCTCTCCTGAGTTACTGGTAAGCTCCTGGGTGGCCCTGGGTGCCTTATTCACTGATGTTTCTCAAGAGTCAGCAGTACCTGGCATGTGGTAGGCACTTGTATGTTTGCGAAACAAAGAACTCTCAGCAAACTCTCAGCTCTCAGGGCCAGCACCCACTTAGCTGGCCACCACCCTTAATTCTGCCCCTCTCCCAAGTCAGAGTGATCTTTTAAAAAAATGATCAGGCCGGTGTGGTGGCTCACAACTGTAATCCCAGCACTTTTAGGAGGTCACAGCAGGTGGATCACCTGAGGTCAGAAGTTCGAGACCAGTCTGACCAACATGGTGAAAGCTGGCCTCTACAAAAATACAAAAATTAGCTGGGCATCATGGTGCATGCCTGTAATCCCAGCTACTCGAGAGGCTGAGGCAGGAGAATCAACTTGAACCCCGGAGGCAGAGGTTTCAGTGAGCCAAGATCGCAACATTGCACTCCAGCCTGGGCAATAAGAGTGAAACTCGTCTCAAAAAAAAAAAAAGAGATCAGGCTGGGCATGGTGACTCATGACTGTAAACCTAGCACTTTGGGAGACCAAGGCAGGTGGATCACTTGAGGCCAGGTGTTCAAGTCCAGCCTGGCCAATGTGGTAAAACCCTGTCTGTGGGTAACACCCCCATGGGCACTGTGGAAGGAGAACTGTCCAGACCCCAGGCACAATTAGTGCCTGAAGAATATCTTAGTTTATAGTGTTATTACTTAGCTATTTTCTTTATATAATTCTTTATATATAATCATATATTAGTTTATAGAATTAGTGCCTGAAGTGTAACTTACTGCTTACATATATCTAGCTTATATAATCATACTTAATACTTATATTTAGCATACTTAGTTCTATATAATCTTTCTATATAATCATATAGGTATTATAGTCAGAGCTGTACTGACACATTTAGTGCTGATTTATAGAATCCTTTTATATAACTATATAGTAGTTTATAGTAGGAGGAATGCCTAGAGCAGTCACAGAACAGAAGCAGTACTTGGGAAAACAGCCAGATCAGGACGAGAACCAAAGACCCAGGTGGTGGCGTCCCTGCTTGAAAGGGCATATGCTGTATGGCAGGGTTGGAGCAAGAGCCTCTCCTCCTGATAAAGGAGTTGTAGTACCTTACATCCAGTTCCTGTGGAAAGTCAGCCTCAGGCCTGAGATCCTGGAAGCAACTGAGGGAGAAGAACCCCTCTCGTGTGATTAATCACAGCGGCTGTACACCCTGTCAGTCTTTTCTTGCTTCTGTGCTAGCTCAAATCATCCTCTCATAAATATCTTTTTTTTTTTTTTTTTTTTTTTTGAGACGGAGTTTTGCTCTTGTTACCCAGGCTGGAGTGCAATGGCGCCATCTCGGCTCACCGCAACCTCCGTCTCCTGGGTTCAGGCAATTCTCCTGCCTCAGCCTCCTGAGTAGCTGGGATTACAGGCACGTGCCACCATGCCCAGCTAATTTTTTGTATTTTTAGTAGAGACGGGGTGTCACCGTGTTGACCAGGATGGTCTCGATCTCTTGACCTCGTGATCCACCCGTCTCGGCCTCCCAAAGTGCTGGGATAACAGGCTTGAGCCACCGCACCCAGCTTCATAAATATCTTAAGAGAAGAGCACAAGTCTGCCAGCTCCCACTGCATTGGCTTACAGTAAACTTCTATTAGAAATCCTTTGAAGCCTCCAGCCCCCAGATAAGAAGGGTTGCACACGACACCTGTTGTACACAGCCCACCTCCTTGCCTCGGTGACCTAATAGGGGTGGGTCCCTTTTCTGTACACAATCCTCTATTACTACGCACGGCACGGCCCCCTACAGCACACAGCCCACCTCTCTGCCCAGGTGACCTAATGGGGTGGCCCCCTTGCTTATGACTCACATGATTATGTATGCCCTATTACTAAGCCTATAGATGATGACCAGCCCCCTGCTTGGATCTAATAAACACAGACGCTTCTGGGCATTTGGGGCTTTCACTGATCTCCACTCACAGGTGGCATGGCCCCTGGAGTCCAACTACTCTTCACCAGTTCTTCAGTGTCCTGTCTCTTTACTTCTCGGATCCTGCACCTCAGCACAGCATAAGGGACACCCCACGACCCTATGGGGCCAACAGCCCTACATCTGCCTATACAAAAAACACAAAAAATTAGCTGCACATGGTGATACGTGCCTGTAGTCCCAGCTGGCTATTCAGGAGGCTGAGGCACGAGAATTACTTGAATCCGGGAGGCAGAGGTTGCAGTGGGCTGAAATCACAGCACTGCACTACAGCCTGCGTGGCACAGTGAGACCCTGTCTCAAAAACACAAAAAGATCAGCTCGATCATGTCACACTACAGCTTATACCTTTAAATGTCTTCCATGGCTCTTAGAATAAAGTCCAAGCTCTCTCAGCTGGCCTGCAAGGCCTGGAGTTATGGGACCCCCTTTCTGCCACCTCTCCTCTAGCTGCTCTTCCCTTCCCTCTTGCACTCCAGCCTACTAGACCGGTCTTGGTCTTGGGTTTCCAGTACCCCTGGCCTCTTCCCACTCAAGGCTTTTTCACATACCCTTCAGGTCTCAGCTTAATACCTTCTTCTTCGAGATGCCTTCCATGAATGCATGTGGTGGCTGCCTGATTTTGTCAGCCCCTATGTCAACTTGTGAGTCTGTGTTCTGACCGCTGCCGTGGCTCCCTGGGGATAGTGACCATGGCTATTATGCCCAATTCCACATGGCTTCAACCATATCATACACACTAATGTCCGGTAGAACTTGTAGATGAACTGAGTCTACCTAGGTTGAGTTCTAGACAATGTCTGTAGTTCTGAAGAAGCCAAGAAGTAGTTGTCAAAAGGTCCAGGAGGACCTAAGAGGTCAGACAGAGAAGGACTCAAGGTCAACACATCCAGCTGCAGTGGGAGGTGGGGGTGCTGGGCAGATGCAGGTCCAATGCTCACGGTGACTAGCTTTGTGACCCTGGGCACGTTAGGCTAACATGTTGGGTGTACAACTTCAGTGTCCTCTCTTTTGGAAAGAAAAAAAATACAAATATCATGGGCTCATATTTCCTGTGTGAAAAAAATGACTTCTGGCTGGGCATGGTGGCTCATGCCTATAATCTCAGCACTTTGGGAGGCTGAGGTGGATGGAGCACCTGAAGCAAGGAGTTAAGAGACCAGCCTGACCAACATGGTGAAACTCCATCTCTACAAAAATACAAAAAAAAAAAAAAAAAAAATTAGCCAGGCATGGTGGTAGGCGCCTGTAATCCTAGCTACTTGGGAAGCTGAGGCAGGAGAATCGCGTGAACCTAGGAGGCGGAGGCTGCAGTGGGCAGAGATCACCCCACTGCACTCCAGCCTGGGTGACAAGAGCGAGATTCCATCTCAAATTAAAATAGAAAAAAATAAGACAAGCCATAGATGCTCAGTAACAATAAAAATAAAAGGATATTGATTTGTTAATCAATTTGGAGACACAAATATCAAATTAAAATAATTTAAACATCCAAGTCAAGCATCAGTGTTACGAAAGGTCACTGGGCCTTCCTTGCAGCCTGACAACCTTGGGTTCAAACACCTTGTCTAGGCCAGGCATAATGGCTCACACCCATAATCCCAACACTTTGAAAGGCCGAGACAGAAGGATCGTTTGAGCCCATTTCAGACCAGCCTGGGCAACATGGTGAAATCTGTCTGTACAAAAAATTAAAAAATTAGCTGGATGTGGTGGTGTGTGACTGTAGTCCCAGCTACTCCGGAGGCTGAGGTGGGAGATCACCCGAGTCCAGGGGGTCAAGACTGAAGTGAGCCATGTCTGCATCACTGCATTCCACCTTGGGGGACAGGGCAAGACCTTGTCTCAAAAACAAAAACCTTTTCTAGGCTGGGTGGGGAGGCTCACATCTGTAATCCCAGCACTCTGGGAGGCCGAGGCAGGCGAATCACCTGAGGTTGGGAGTTCAAGGCCAGCCCGACCAACATGGAGAAACCCTGTCACTACCAAAATTACAAGATTAGCCGGGCGTGGTGACACAGGCCTGTAATCCTAGCTACTGGGGAGGCTGAGGCAGGAGAATCGCTTGAACCTGGGAAATGGAGGTTTGGTGACCCAAGATTGCACCAATGCACTCCAAGATCGAGACTCCATCTCAAAAGGAAAAAAAAAAAACAAAAAAAAAACCCACAACCACCACCAAAAAACCGTTTTCTAGTTATGTATCTCTTGGCCTTATCTCTAAAATGTAGATGCTGCTATTTATTCTTCAAACTACTACTGGGACTAAATTAAATAAGCCATGTTATGGCCAGGCCTGGTGACTCACATCTGTAATGTCAGCACTTTGGGAGGCTGGGGTGGGAGGATCACCTGGGTCAGGAGTTCGAGACCAGCCTGGCCAATATGGTGAAACCCCGTCTCTACTAAAAGTAAAAAAATTGACTGCGTGTGTTGGTGAGCGCATGTAGTAGTCTAGAGGCTAAGGCACAAGAATCGCTTGAACTTGGGAGCCAGAGGTTGCAGTGAGCAGAGATCGTGCTATTGCACTACAGCCTGAGCGAAAAGTGAGACTCTGTCTCAAAATACAAAAATAAAAATATGTAATCCCAGCTACTCAGGAGGCTGAGGCAGGAGAATTGCCTGAACCCAGGAGGCGGAGGTTGCAGTGAGCCAAGATCGCGCCATTGCACTCCAGCATGGGTAACAAGAGCGAAACTCCGTCTCAAAAAAAAAAAAAAATTAAATAAATAAATAAATAAATAAATAAAAATAAACCATGTTATTGAAAGCTCCCTGGCCTACGGGGAGTTTAACACACAGTTCCTTTTGTAATTTTTTTTTGAGACAGAAGTTTCGCTCTTGCCGCCCAGGCTGGAGTGCAATGGCGCAACCTTGGCTCACGGCAACCTGCGCCTTCAGGGTTCAAGCGATTCTCCTGCCTCAGGCTCTGAGTAGCTGGGATTACAGGCATGCGCCACCACGTCCAGCTAATTTTGTATATTTAGTAGAGAGACAGGGTTTCTCCATGTTGACCAGGCTGGTCTCTAACTCCCAAACTCAGGCGATCCGCCCCCTTGGCCTCCCGAAGTGCTGGGATTACAGATGTGAGCTCTTTTGGTAACTTAAACTACCCAAAGCAGTGAACACGAGAAAGCAACTCCGGGTAAGTCAGGTTAGGCTTTGCTGTCTGAATGTGGAAAATAACACGTGGAAACGTCAAGGTGATGAATCCGGACAACCAATCCACTGAAGTGAGAAAAACAAAAGTTTAAACAAGAGCCCCACGCCTGAACACTTGGTGCTGATAACGCTAAGTACTTTTAGAGCCACGGCCGGCTTTAAATTCCAAGTCAAAGACGCGAATGCTCTGACCTCCTCCAGGAGCTGCCTTCCCCAGCCTCCGCGGAGGGCTGGCCCGGGAGGATCCGCTTCGCGTCGTCTTATTTCCCACCCTCAGCACCTCAGAGACCGGGGTCACCAACGCCCTCTGCAGACGCGGCCACCCAGGCTCGGAGCAGCCTCCGGCGGGGACCCAGCAGGCGGCGTCCCGGGCCTGCGGCCTCAGGCGCGCGCTGTCCCCGCCCCCGGCCCCGGGACGCGCAGCTCAGGGCCCCGCAGGCCGGGCTAGCGCCGCAGGGAGGACGCGGCCTCCGCCCCGAGCCTCGAGCGCCTTCCCGAGCGAGGGCGGAGTCGCACCGCGGCCGGTCCCGCCGTGACCTTGAGCCCGCGGGCGCCCCCACCCCGCCCCCGCTCCGGCCCCGCCGCCCCGAAGCCGGGCGGCCCCCTGAGGTGGGAACGGGACCGGGACGCAGATCCGCGCCGGGGAGCCCCGCGCCCTCCGCCTCGCGGCGGCCCCTGCCCGGCCGCTCCAGGAAAGGGCGGTGCTGCTCACCGGAGCCCCGGCAGGAGGCTGCAGGGGGCTGCCCGCCGCAGGAGACCGCTGGCCCAGGCCGCTCCGCCGGCGCGCAGCACCCGCGCCGCCATCTTGCTCGGCGCCTCGGCCGCCGCCGCTGCTGACGACGCCGCCGCGCGACCCCTCCCCCGGCCGGGCCGGGCGCGGCCGCTGCAGTGCAGGGCACTGCCGCCAGGGGGAGCAGGGCGGGGCCGCGGGGGTTGGCGGGGTGCAGGTGCCCGCTCCCAGCAGGGCCGGAGGGCGCAAAGCCCAAGCGCGGCCGCTTCCAGCGAGAGGAGCTCGGTGCCCAGGAGCGCGGGTGCAGAAGGGACAAAGGCAAAGCTGCAGCGAGCAAGGAAAGCTCCACAGGGAACAAGTAACACTGTCGCCAGGGGAATGCAGGGCCTGGGCAGGGCAGTGGCAGTGGGGTTCCCCCACCCCATCCCGCCAACACCTTTTACATTTGGCAGTATGTGAATATATTGCCGTTTCAAAAAACAGATGTATTCTGCTGCTGGACACAATGGCTCATGCCTATTATCCCAGCATTTTGGAAGGCTGGGGCCAGAGGATCTTTTGAGGCCAGGAGTTCGAGACCAACCTAGCGAGCCCCCACTCTGCAAAAAATTTTATAATTACCCGGGCATGGAGGAGCGCGCCTGTGGTGTTAGCTACACTGAAGACTGAGGTGGAAGGATCGCTTGAGCCCAGGAAGTGGAGGCTGTATTGAACTATGATCATGCCACTGCACTCCAACCCAGGCAACACAGCCACATCCTGTCGCAAATAAAATAAAATAAAGAACTGTGAAGGTCTTTTTTTTCTGCCCCCCCACCCCCAAACTGTGAAGGTCTTGGGACGGCATGGTTCCCATTCATTTCAGCACCGGTGGGAACTGCTGTGGGGAGTCCTTGGTACCCACCCCCGAGCCATCCAGGTCTAGTGGGGACAGAATGTGCAATGATGATTGGACCGACTGTGACAAGTCGAAATGGACAGGTTCTCGAGACGCAAAAGAGGCACTGAAAAAAGCATGTAACCGGGGGTGGCTGTGAATTGGAGTATACATGGGGAAAAAGGTCCCCAAGGAGCTGGCAGGACAGCTCAGTCCTAGGGGAAGAAGGGAGGCCATCCCTGGCTCAAGAAATAACTTAAGCAAAGGCGTGGGTCTGGCAGGCTGGTGCTGTAGGGAAAAATGCATCCTCCAGGAAGATAAACCACAAATGTAGCTGGGTGCCATTGCTCACGCCTGTAATCCCAGCACTTTGGGAGGCCAAGGCGGGAGGATCACCTGCAGTCGGGAGTTTGAGACTATCCCGGCCAACATGGTGAAACCCCATCTCTACAAAAGTACAAAAATTAGCCAGGTGTGGTGGTGGGTGCCTATATAATCCCAGGTACTTGGGAGGCTGAGGTGGGAGAATTGGTTGAACCTGGGAGGTAGAGGTTGCAGTGGGCCGAGATCGAACTATTGCACTCCAGCCTGGGCAATGAGCGAGACTCTGTCTCAGAAAAAAAAAAAAAAAAGCCATAAATGTAACCATGAAAACTGCAACCAAGACAAGGGCAGCAGGAAGGGAGCTGGACCCTGGGGGTGGGGGAGAACCCGGGAGGACTAGGGGCTCCAGCGGCCAAAGGGAGCATTTCCAGGCTAGCGTGGGGCTGCAGAGGCGGAGAGGAAAGTGCCCTCAGGACTGGGCTGCTTGGAGGTCATAAGGTGGGCAGGAACTGGGAGGTTCCCTGAAGCTGGTAATCTTGGGAGCCAAGGGAGCATCAGGGCTCAAGGGGTGCAGTTTTCTGACTGGGGTAGAATTTGAACACGATATTATGGCAAGGAGCCACCAGCAAGGACAGGGTGGACTCTGTGGATAAAGGAAGGCTTTG